CAATTTTGCAAAAATTCTGCAATATATATATACACTCACAGGCAAAATAATCGATCCACATAAATTTTTGATGAATTTCAATCGCAAATAATTTTTTTATTTGATTTCGGATTTAAACAAATATTAAAGAATATTATTGATACATTAATAGAGAATCGCTCAACGATTAAAAAAAATTACTAAAAAATACACGAACGTTTATAATATTCAGGTTTAAACAAAAAGACACTCTGTAGAGTGGCAAAACCGTTTTATTTATCAAGTAACATCTATTCTTAACAGTTTTGTTTTTGGTTTACCTCGATATATTTATTTTTGTGGAAAATATCGATTTTTTTAAAAAAACATTGCCCTTTCAAATATTTTTCCTGTATGAAGAACTAAGGTTGCTATGGTCCATCCATAGCCTACGGAGGATGACAGTGACAGTTTTGTTGAATCATCCCATACTTGGACATGTCATATACAGCTTTCAAAAGCAATTTGATTTGATTTTGAGGTGTCTTCTTACTTTTAAAAATGTCTCCGACTGATGTTGCCCTTTGTAATTTACTTCTTGTGACGTTTAAAACACTTGCCACGTAATACTGTATTAAATTAATGGCTCTGGCAACATCAGTCGGAGACCTATCCATTTTTTAAATATAGAAGACACCTCAAAATTTAAACATTAATTTGCAAAAAACAATTTGATAGCTTTTAAAAGCCGTGTATGACATGTCCAAGTATGGGATGATTCAACAAAACTGTCACTGTCATTCTCCATAGCCTATGGATGGACCATATCTTTCTCTACGTCAATTTTTTTTATATGGGTAATTCTACAAAAGTTGGGCAACTTTTGACCTTATTTTGTTTATATAGTTTTTGGAGAAAATTAAATAGTATTTTGTTATGAGAACATAGATAATTAATATAATAAATTTACTGTTCCAGGCCGGGCCAGTCACTTTTTCAAACAGTTTCTGAAATATCTGTGTTTTCTAAATTTGAATGCAAGGGAAGTGACGAGTAGTACCAGGGTACTAATTAAATACATAATTTATTGGAAAATATAAGATTTATTGCAACTTTGAGCATATTATACATTAAATATCTTAAAATCAAACAATACCACACATTAGTGGCGGCTGGTGGATTTTGGGTATACCGATATCTGAATTATTAGATATGGGACCCACACAAAATTTATATAAGTTTATAATAACATTAAATTGAAGTTTGCGAAAAAAAGATAACCGAAACATCGAACATGGAACTGACGAAACGAATTCAAATTTGAGATTATAATTCTGATATTTTTTATTAGTGGATGCTACTTATCAACAAATCACATGTAGCCTTATATAAATTACAATGAAATATATATACGTAAGAAAATAACTACTCACCACAGTACTGAAATTTTGAATGGAACTATACGTGCATTCACCACAACTTCGCCGCTTGCATTGTTTTCAAGATGACTGTCGTGCAAAGGGCGGGCTCAGTAGGTAATTTTTTTCCAACACTTGAGTTAAAACGAGGACTTGACGTTTAAACTTTAATATTTCGCAGGAATTTTGAATTTTAACATTGGACACAGAACTGACGGGTAAAAGTGAGTACAAAGATTATCAATTTTTTAAAAATTGCTATTATTTGAATCTATGATAAAATATGAAAAATACATTATTTAATGTATTATAGTTTGTAGTGAAATTGAAAAATTTAAAATAAATTGAATATATTTTAAAATAAAATCACTCAAATATTTGATTCAGGAGTTGTGACCCGCCAAGGTACTGATGTTTTGAATACTTATTATGTTTTTCTACAAACGTGCTTTTGAAAAAATACATTAAAATATACTAAAATATTTACAAAAAATATTAAAATACCTACTCTATTGACTGATGACATCAAGTTGTCCAACTTTTGTAGAATCACCCATATATATATATATTTAGCGAAAGCTCGTCACGCGTCTGTAAAAGTGATAATTAAGAAATGTCTTTACGATGTCAGATAAGTTTATTATTTGAAACCTTCGCATTTCGACTAACCAACGGTTTTGAAGTGAAATTATGACTACGTATGATTTGTTTCCATTTTAATTAAACTTCCTAATATAGGTGGCCAACTTAAAGTAATAAGGACACCTATGTTGTTTATGTACAAAGTTTACAAATCGTTTGGAAATCAAACATTTTGACAAAAAGCGCAAAACTAAACACATAACGGTTTTGACTTGTAAAGATGCCCGATTTGAAATCGAGCATTTAAGCAAATTTGATTGTTTAAATTAATTAATAAAATTATTATGTTAGTGTTAGGATTTGGAATGGAAGAGAAAATCCATTCAAAAACAGTTTTTAGGGTAAAAAATAGTGCCATATGTTCGATATCTAGGTAAATGCGATTAACGATTACATTTTCATTTAAATTAGCAATTGTTATACTATTGGCAATTATAGAGAAAAAAGAAAATTAATTAGGAAAAATATTAACGGCTTCGTCTTACGAAGGTTATAATTATTATTATTTAAATAAACTCATTAACATAAACATTACTCACTCAATGCACAATAGTTTATAATAATACACCAACTACAGTTATATACAGGGTGTTAAAACAAGTTTTTTTTATTTATAAAAAAGAGCAAATTCCTTGAAAAGTAAACTAACATAAAACTGGAATTTTCAACATTTCGTCCGGATAAATGGTCTTTTAACGCTTCCACAAGGTATTTATGCAAATTTCAAGTATATTTTAATCATAAAATTTCCACACATAAACATTTTACGCACACATATCGGATCTGCATTATTTATTATTTTTTCCTATTGAAATGTCTTCAATGGCATGATGTTCAGGTTTCGAAAATTCTGTGCTGGGTTGCAGCAATTCAATAATGTTCAATGACTAGGTGATCATTTTGATGATGTTGCGCATGGTGGAGCTGATAATGTTGAAGCCCTTATAAAGTACTGGGAAGTAGGTATAAGTCGAGAAGACAAAAGTGGCAATAGAGAATGGGATGCATAGATGCTGTGGAGAGGCATTGCGATGCATTGACCTAGCCATCGGAGCAACGAAGTCGCCATTACACCTTGATATGCATCGCAGTAGCAAATGCAAATTCTAATTATACACTTCAATTAACAGGTCCGGAAACGGATTTCAGAAATGTTGTCCAATGATCAGTCAAACGTCGAAAAACGGCAAAAATTCTTGTCACGCAGCATTTGGCAAAAACTGTACTTTTTTAATGAGAAAACAATAAAACAACATCTGCAGATGTACACCACTTAATTTCGTCGAAAGTACCTTCTAAACAAAAATTAGAATATACATAACTTTTTTATTTGTTTTCGAATTTAAACAAATATTAAAGAATATTGTAGATACATTAATGGAGAATCGCTCAAATTTTAAAAATTAATAAAAAATACATGTACGTTTATAATATACAGGTTTAAACAAAAAGATGTTTTTTACCATAAGTTTAAGACACTCTGTAGAGTGGCAAAACCGTATATTGTTCTAAATTAATTATCAAGTCACATCTATTTTTAACAGTTTTGTTTTTGGTTCACCTCGATATATTTATTTTTGTGGAAAATATGGATTTTTTTAAAAAACATTGCAATTTCCAATATTTTTCCTGTATGAAGAACTAAGGTTGCTATGGTCCATCCATAGCCTATGGAGGATGACAGTGACAGTTTTGTTGAATCATCCCATACTTGGGCATGTCATATAAAGCCATTTTGTAAATTATTGTGTTAATTTTGAAGTGTCTTCATACTTTTAAAACTGTCTCCGACTGATGTTGCCCTTTGTACTTTACTTTTTGTGACGTTTAAAACACTTGCCACGTAATACTGTGATCGTCCATCGTGGATTAAATTAATGGCTCTGGCAACATCAGTCGGAGACATATCCATTTTTTAAAGTAAGAAGACACCTCAAAATTTAAACATTAATTTGCAAAAACCAATTTGATAGCTTTTGAAAGCCGTGTATGACATGTCCAAGTATGGGATGATTCAACAAAACTGTCACTGTCATTCTCCATAGCCTATGGATGGACCATAGCAACCTTAGTTCTTTAAACAGAAAAATATTGGAAATTGCAATGTTTTTTTAAAAAATCCATATTTTCCACAAAAATAAATATATCGAGGTGAACCAAAAACAAAACTGTTAAGAATAGATGTGACTTGATAAATAAAACTTAATTTAGAACAATATACGGTTTTACAGAGTGTCTTAAACTTATGGTAAAAAACATATTTTTGTTTAAACCTGTATATTATAAACGTACGTCTGTTTTTTAGTCTTTTATCTACAATATTCTTTAATATTCGTTTAAATCCGACATCAAATAAAAAAGTTATTTGCGATTGAAATTCATCGAAAATTTGTGTGGATCGATTATTTTGCCTGTGAGTGTATAAATTACATAAAACGGTACAAAAAACCGATGGTAAAAAAGCGTAAAAGAAACGTGCTAATTGAAAACTTTGTGTTGTGCTCTAAAAGTTTTAAATTTTGTTGGTTTTTAAAATGGGTCACAATCAGCGTAGCAGTGATTTACTCAAGAATTCGACGATATTTTAAAGCAAATACATCGTTTCAACAATAACTTAACTCGGCCAAAATAAAAGTTTCCAAAGTTAAGTTTTCGGCGGTACCTGACCTCAAAAATAAACTTTTAATGGTCTCAAACTAGTTTTTGTATTTGCGCTAGTTGTAATCGGCCTTTTTATTACACCAAATGAACCAAGATTAGGAATTTATGGGTTCAATGTTCAATTTCATAAATTATTAGTTAGCTTATTTCTTCGTCATTGCAATTTTGGTTACGTCTCGCTGCCCGTCTTTTGTTGCTTTTAATTTTTGGTTACGGCAAATTTAAATATTTTCGTCTTTAGAAGCAGGCACACGTAAATTACAACAAGATTACGAAGCACATTTATAGACATACAACAGCAAAATATACATATTTTCTCACCTGACTTATGTTCGTGGCAATTTTAACCTGGGGCTTCTCGCGCTTGCTCAAATAAAAATCGTGGGTTCTGTGATTATCTCTGGGTTCCTCGGTGGTACCAGTGCTCTCATGGGTGGTTGTTTCCGGCACAGTTACAGCCTCAGTGGTAGTACTGCTAGTGGTAGTGATATTAGCTTTTTGTTGTGTGGTTGTTTTTGTGGTGGTGGAAGCTTGTTGTTGCGTTGTTAGGGGTACCGTAGTCCAACTAGGGGTGGTTTTAGTCATGGTGACCGTCTGAGCTTGGGTGGTGGTTTGCAGTGGCGTGGTGGTGAGAATGGTGGTGGTCGGTTTTTCGGACGTTAAGTTCCCAGTTTTGCCTTGTCGGAACCACGTCGAGAGGAACTCCTGCGGATTGTTCCAATACTGAGAGTCAACTTGCACTGCCACGCACAGCATAGCGAATAATACGAGCACACGCATTTTAATTCGAAATCGAAAAATATCCGCGCGATTTTTTTTCTTCGCCTAAAGCACCGCGTTGCGTCCTTGGGAGCTTGATGGACACTAGAGAGTACGGAACCGTTCGAGCGCTGTCTTGTGAAGGTCTGTGCTTTGGCAGAAGCTGCATGCACTATGTAAGCGATGTGCTGCAAGTCGTCGCCGAAGAACTAACCCACTTCTTGGCCAATGGTGCCGCGGCTTAGGGGGAGCCAATGGAAGTATATCGGGTACCACTATGACAAAATTACAACAAAGGCGCCACACTATTTATGGAGGCCATTTCCATAAATTAGCGACAAATGAAAAATCAAGCAAATAAAATTTAGTTTTTAAATCGTCATTTCGGTAACTATAAACCGATGGTGTTGAATACTTCTAGTTCTAGTTCAGAAATTAATGATTTGTATGGCACGCCGTTTTAACATTTATTAAATAAATTTTATCTCCACGCGGTCTATAATTTAAACTTTATTGTTGTCATAAAAAATTTTATGAGGCAAGTAATTAGTTCGATTTTTTCTCGCTAGGGGTATTGGTTTGACAAATTAATCCTTTTCTAAGAAATTAACGTACTAAACTGGTTTAATTTATTTATAAGCACTAATTTGTTTGTTTTACTGTTAATGTTTAATGTTTTTCATTAAATTATTGTAAAATTAAATATGAATAATAAAACAAAAAGTGAGGTTAGGCAACCAAGAAAACGCACGATTCTTTTTCTACGATTTAAATTATCTTTAAGTTTTAATTTGTTTTAAGTTTTCAGTGAAATTAAATGTTAAACACAGCTTAAACATTCCAAACTACCTATTTTTTAAATAAAAATCCAAACAAATTAAAATTAGATACCTAAGTACCTATTTATTAAACAATTAATTGAATTCAATGTAATACCAAAAATCCATTTCTACTTAAATCATGTAGCTAGGTATTGTCAAACTATTACTGCTTCTAAAAGCAATAATAATTATTGTACATTTAATGTAATCTTTAGCTAATAAATAAATGAGATTCTAAAAAAGTGAGGTTAGGTCGCTTTGATGTTGAATTAAATTGACTTATATAAAGTGCTTTGAAGATAAAATGTTGTTAGCCATTCGGCCAAGAAGTGCCTTTTTGTGCTTCGCTCAATTGTAGGCCTCCGCTACGCGTCGGCCTTCAAACCTTGAGCTTAGCACAAAAAGCCTTACTTCTTAACCTAATGACATAAATAACTATTTAATATAAAATTTTAGGTTTACTTTTATAAATTAAAAATATTTTCAACTAACATGTATTGAAAAACAAAAATTAATAAGTAACAGTTCACTTCTGTAATAAACAATAGTTTTGTAAAGCTTAAATAAATATGATTGATTTATTTATATCAACTGATTTACGCATATCCACTGATTTTTTCTGAACACACCTCGTAGTTTACCCTTGCCTGCTCCCCTGAACAAAATCCTGGCTACACCCTTGCTGGAAATGGGGCAAGAATCCCTGCTTTTCTAAAAGGTTAAATTAAACCCAATGAAAAAAATTCGGCATGTATATATATATATATATATATATATATATTGAAAAATATATGTAAACAAATTTTAAAAACTGTTACTTTTTAAATTTAATTGTTGCTGTTCTAGTCCAGATTTTTTTACCCTGTGTATTTTATTTGAAAAATAAAAATATTGTTTCAGAGCATATTTTTAATTATTTGTCAAATAAATTTTACAAATAATAAAAAAAATTTGAACCAAAAATATAAAAAACTTTGTTTTGCTTTCTAGCCAAAACATTTGCTTTTACCTACAGGGTGTATTTTTTATTTTTCTATAAAATGCCTTTTAAACTTGTATTATTGGCAAAATTGTTAATAATATAATAATATGTATATTTAATTTGAAATAACCATGTTGCCCTTTTGTCCCTCCATTTAATTTTCTTTTATGTTTAATAGTATATTTCTGGGCCCAAAAATAAATAGAGTGTAAATTTCCTCTCAGAAAAAAGTCCTCTCTACCTTGTTGAGCCCTTTACCCAAAACCCACTGATTCTGTTTCTACACTGAGAAAAATGTATGTAATTTTACACAACTTTCACACTAAATAAAGTTGTAAAAAATTACAAATTTTTGGTAAAAGTACATATTTTTGTGTTTTTAAGTAGATATATGTGTGAAATTAGATAAAAAATGTAAATTTACATATTCTTATAAAAGTACATAACATATAATGTGAATTTTATAAAATTTTAAAAGTACTATGTAAAATTTACATTAAAAAGTAAATTCTACATAAAAATATTAAATATTACATTATTATAGGTAACCTTTACACATTTCATGTAAATATCAACCAATAGGATTTGAGCATTAAGTCACGCGATGCGGCACACACGTATGTAAACGAAACGAACATTTTGTTGGCCGAGTTAGGACGCGTCGTGTAGTGTTTATAGTGGTTTTTTCGTATTATTTGGTAAGTATATTAATATATATATATATTAATATATATAATATAAATAAGGAGCATAAAAGAAGAAACTAGGATGCCATCAATAAAATGAGATTTTCCCATTATTAATTGATATATTTTACTTAATTTTATTTAAAGAATTGCCTATTCATAAGTTATACTATTTTATTTAAATAAGTTTAATTCCAATACTAGTATATTAAACATCTATCCAGTAAAAACAAAATATTTGGTGCTTTGATGTCAAGTGGTAAAACTGCACCTGTTTACAAATTAATATCTAGTTTAAGCAATAATTTTAGTTTTAATAAATATTTTATTATAGGCTAATTTTACTTTTTTTTCAGATCCAAATATTTTTTATTGAATAAATATTAGTTATTACAAATAATAATAGGTTAGATTTTAGGTTAAATAGGTATGTAATATTATTAAAATAAATCCTAATTTCTATTAATTTTTATATATATTTATATGTATTTGTATTTAAAAAATGTTTATTTATTATTGTTTTAAATATACAATTATTGTTAACTTACAATTTTATTTTATTTGGAAATAGATGTCCCTAAAAATTCTACCAATTTAAAAGTTATCTTTTAAAGTGTAGTATTTAAACTTAAAAAATTGCCTAAACCGTATAATAATCTTACTATTTTTAACTTATTTATATTATTTAAAAATTAACAAAAAAACTTAAAATGCGTAATTCTCAAATAAAAAAAAATAAAAATGTACTACGCTTAAAAAGTTTGCTTCTAAATTAAAATTGTCTATTTTTTGTGTAGATATATATACAGTTTTATTTTTTTTAAATACCTGTATAAAGGTATTTTGTAAAAATTAAAACTGCAATATTACAAAATTTTGGGTTTATTTAAATTTATTTAATTGCAAATAAACCCAATATTTTGTAGTATGATTCTATAGAATACAATTACATAATTTTGAAAAAATTACATATTACATGCATGTAAGTAAAATACATTATATATGTATAAAATTTACATAAACGTGTAAATATAAATTACATCTGTCATGTACATTTTAAACAATTATGAATTATTTACAAATTTTGTGTAAACATAAATCACATATTTTATGTAAAAACACATAGATATGTTTAATTTACACAATCTATGTAATTTCACATCAGTTTACGAAGCTAACAAATAACCAACGACCAGTTATGTGAAAATTTTTCTCTGTGTAAGAGCAAGCACATAATTTAAAAATTTAAAAGCAGAGAATAAGTTGAACATGGTCTAAAATTTAAAATTCTTCAAAAGTATTTAAAAAATAATACAAATATTTTTTAAACACAATTTTGTTTTCTGTTGTTTATTATTTATTAAATAGTATTTTTTTAATTATATATAATATAGGTATTACATTAAAAAGTAAACATGAAACTAAAGCAAGTTATAAATCAATTGATTTCAAGTATTCTGCTTTTCAATCAGACAAAAAAACAGCAAAGATATTTGATATACTTAACATGGTAGTAGGTAATTTTATCGTTAAAATTTTTTATTTTTTTAATTATATTTTTGTTATAGGCTTACCTACCTTCTGAATTTATTTTTTCATACATATATATTTACAAACAAAAATACTGTCTATTTTAATTCATATTTTAACGACTGATATAAATGATATCAACCCATTTTCATTTTAGCCAAAAAACAAATCTAGTAAACCATGACTTATATTAGCGTAATTATTTTCTATGGTTAAAAGCAAATGTCACAAATGTCAAATAAATCTTGATAAAATTTTAATTGTTTTATGTCTAATTTAAAATGTCAATGTATAGAAATCGACTTTTTTATGGAAAATATAAACGTTTACAACAGTTTTTAAAGAAAATTACTACGTTGCCATGTCTTGCAAAAACCTATATCCACTGATATACCAAATCAGTTGATATAAATAAATCGACAAATTGTGGCTTAATGGCGTTTTAGTCACGGGCTGAAATTGGCAACAGGTTTTTAGTTACGGACTGAAGTTAGTTTTAAGTTAGTTAACAGTTGTCAAATGTCATTGAATCGTTAAAATAAAGTGTCTTTCTTGTAAAATAATACTAAATATCTCATTTTAATCATTTTTTAAACTTACTATTATTTGCAATAAATTCCGGAATTTGTGAAATTTCTCATTTTACGACCGCATAGGGGTACTTATGGTGCAAAATAACGAAATAAAGTCGATAAAATATGAACTTGAGCATAACATGTTACAGAACCATATATCTCGAAGCGCAACAAGAATTCTGCACAGATATATTTTATGCATCAGACACTGGTGAAAATATTTATTGTTCAATAAAATATTATTCTTTACAAATAATAAATCATAATTATGGAGTATAAGCGGAATTTGTCACTTTGTGGGATTGTGTCGGTTTTGAGCAATGTTACTTAGAAATAATAAAAAAGCAAAAATAATGTGCGCCATATGGCTTTTACACATAATTACACTCTAACCTTATAATCCAAATAGTTAAGTACACAGTGAACGGTTCAAGCTGATGAATAGGGGACTAATTTTGAAGATTTATGCCCTTTGTTATGCCATTTGTAGGTTAATTGTAAAAAGATCTGTAATTAGTGGATGCATTTTAATTTATTAGTTAAACAGTAAGTCGTAAACGCGTTGTTAATTGCATTTGGAAAAACTTCCCAAGTGTTTAATGGGAAAAAGGTCAATTATTTATTAACTTTGATTTTACGACTT